TATCACCTAGGAAAAGCCACCTTAGCTCACAGTGGGTTCAGACCGTGTGCCACACAGAATCTCATACCTGTTGTCCCACATCCTGTAACTACAGGTTTGCCTGTTATTTCAGAGGAGAAATATCTGAGGATCATTGCGCTCTGATGAAAAGCTTTCACAAGAGTGCAACACAAACTCTTAATGTTCGTTACTTCAAGCCATAGATTTGTTACAATTCTTTTTAAATAGGCCAAAATATCAGTACATCATCTTTTTCTTTTTTTTTTTGTTTTTTTTTTTTTTGTTTTTTGTTTCTTTGAGGTTGTCTTACTACACGACTCTAAGTGTGTGTGTGTACATACACACACATATAAACATTTCTTAAAATGTTTTATTCATTAGTTTTGGGAAAATGCATTTTACCCTCAAAGAACTTGTGTAAGCCAAAGCTGAGACAGTAATGTTGGAAAAATAGTATAGACACTGAACTGTATTTCGTTATTCCATTTGCGTACAGTACAGGAGCAGATAATTCTCTTTAACGTACAGTATTTGCAATTCCTAAAGATAAAAATGAAAATGGCCTCCAAGTAATTCATGCCATATAATACATCTAGTTCCTATGCTGCTAGACAGCACTAAAACTATGAGTAGCTGTGATCAGTTTAGCTGATTAAAAAAAGAAATCTTTACAGAATTCAAGTTTGAAATTTTGCTTTCTCAACTCATTTTCAGTATTAACTATAAAAATCACACGTTAGAAATACAGTTTTGATTAGTGTTTTTAATAACAGAAATTGACTGTTATATGGAATGTACTAACTAGAAAAATAAACCAAAATAAGCTGACATAGGCCACCCATATTTGCTACATCTGCAGTTGGGTTCCTTTACTGTTTCCATTTGGCACAAAAGCAGTGATGAGCACTCTACAGACAAGTCCTAGTGCCACAGAACCAGCCCCTACCCTGACAAGCCCATAAACCCAGTGGGCATAGGCCAAGTGTTCCCCTTTCCCAGGGGCAGAGACTCACCCCATCCTCACAACACCCACCCACCCCCCAAAGACCATGCAGCGGGTGAAGTGAAAACCCACACATCACTCCACCTACCGCCCACAGAAATCCGTGTTCAGCTCCTTTTGGGATGCTGGGCATCGCTAGTACAGACCAGCAGCTTCCAACCCAGCTCCACAGAGCTGAGACAAGCAGACAGCCCTTCTCCGAGCAAAGCTTGAAGGTGATGGGAGGCACAGACTGAAGGAGACGGCAGTGTTAATTAAGTCCTGGAGCAGGGTGGCTTGACTTGTTGTTTAGAGCCCACCTCTTCTCTGGAGTTGGAAATATTCCCATGAAGATGCCCACAGTGCTGTCAGTGAACACAAGCAGAACCACTCTGGATGCTTCACGAGCTACTTTAGCGTAATTGTTAAACACTTCCTGAGGGGTTTAGCCATGCTTGAATCATGTTAGTAGGACATATATTCCCCTACCCACCACTCTCACGTTCTTTTTCACTAAACGTCTTTTGCCCTCCAGGCAGTCCGCAACAGTTTCTTTCGTCCCTACCACCACTAGATGGCTGATGATAGCGTGATTTAGCCACATTGCTTGGTCAAGATAGCTAGACATGTATTGGGTTTACAAGGCAAAGGTGTGGTAGCAGAGGTGCTGCAGTGGTGGCTTCCGTGAGCAGAGCCCAGCAGCTGCCCCATGTCAGATCAGAGCCAGCTCCAAAAGGAACCCACTGCTGGCCAGAGCTGAGCCAGGGAGCAACGCTAGTCCAGCTTATGGGAGAACAGACTGAAGGAAGGGGAAGAAGGAAAAAAAAGAAAAAAAAAGACTGCTGTGTGACAGCAGCTAGGACAGAAGAGCATTAAATGAGACAGAATCATCCCTGCAGCCCCCAAGGTCAGTGAAGCAGGAGGTGCTCCAGGCAGGGAGCAGCAGTTCCCCTGCAGCCTGTGGAGAGGCCCCTGGTGGAGCAGGCTGTCCCCCTGCAGCCCATGGGTCCCCATGGAGCAGATCTCCACGCTGCAGCCCCCCCATGGGTGGAGGAGCCCCCGGTGGAGCAATGGATGTGTTTTGGAGGAGGCTGCGGCCCATGGAGAGCCCCCAGGCCGGAGCTGCAGCCGTGGGGGACCCGTGCTGGAGCAGTTTGCTCCTGGGGGATGGATGGACCCCATGGTACGGAGCCATGTGGGAGCAGTGCTTGGAGAGCTGCTGCCTGTGGGCAGCCCCCACAGGCTCAGTTCAGGAAGGACAGCATCCTGTGGGAGGGACCCCATGTGGAGCAGGGGCAAAGAGGGACCATGAAGAAGCAGCGGAGATGAAGCGTTAGGGCTTGACCCCAGCCCCCATTCCCTGTTCCCCTGTGCTGCTCATGGGGAGGATGTAGAACAGGGCGGATGGGGAGAAAGTATTTTGAGTTTGCTTTTAGTTCTCACTGCTGTAGAAATTACCAGTAAGAAATTATTTCTATCCCCCTATGCTGAGTCTGTCTTGCCCACAATTATAACTGGTGAGCAGCTTTCCCTGTCATTATCTCAACCTTTGATCCCTTTCCATCATATTTTCCTCACCCTCTTCCCTTGAGAAGTGAGAGAGCAGTTGTAGTCGAGTTCAGCTGCCCAGCAGGGTGAAACCACCACAACCTAAATCTCTCAGTGCCATAGCTGGCTAAGAGTTGACCTTCATCCCCACAGTCTGGAGTCACACAAGCAGCATTTGAACAAGGTCAGCCAGAAATGTACCACGCTTCCTAGTGGTCCTACATACTACATCCTAGCCCAAACTATCCTCTATATCCTCTAACTCATTGCTTCCAAGTTAAATTACCCTCAATGTAATTAACACAACACCTGCCACCATCTGCTTGCTGGGAAAGTACAAATATTTAGAAGTGCTTCATTTAAGGCCTTCTGATTTCTCAGTAAGAACTCCCCTGCTGTCTCCAGCCTGAGAGACAACTTGCTTCAAGTTGTAATAAGGAAACACAGAGTTCATTGTGAACGAAACCAATGCAAAAAGCCACTAGGCTTCAAGGGTCACGGGACTGATGCAGTTGTTTCCTCATTCATTTTACACCAGAGGACAAGAGGGAAGCATTTAATATGTGCTGGAGGGACTTCTCTGCCACTAACCTCATACTTGTAGGATCACAGCTCATCTCCGCTCAAAGGGTTAGAACAGTCTTTATACCTGGACACTGGGCAGCCTGGCTGAAGGAATAAGCAATACCCAAATGCTAATCCAAGCCTCCATGCTGACACATGACCAATTTTTGCATCCATATCTGACAGAAAGGAGTGATGTTGCTCTCCTGGCCACCTTCTGATACTGGTTCTTTGTAGATACCTTTTGAAGTCCATGCAGCATCCCACTCCACCCTGAATAATGGTAGCAATGCCTGATCTTCTGGATTCTGTAGCACTGAGAATTTGTTAATGTTAAGGAAATGTTTTTCTGCAATATCTGTCAGTGACACTGCATCCTACAGATGAGTTACACATGAGCTCTTGTTTACTTATTTTGAAGTGAATTAAAGTCATTCAGAAAAAGTGGCATGAGCTTACTATATGCATGCCTAAAATCTAGTTTTTTTTCCAAATACACAGACTTAGATATTCATCAAAATTTAACCACTGCTCACACCTCTTTAGTATTTACAATGAATGTTTCATTTGCTGTTGTGAACTGGCCTTCTACCAGTTTTGTATATCTGTTTTCAGACTCACCAACCTCAATCACTTCTGTAGAGCTGATGGTGCGGGCAGAGTCCTAGTCCTCCAGGCCCTACCAGCTGCTGACTCTTGGTGCACCTGCCTCATGCTAGACTCCAAGCAGGGACCCCAGGAGCTAAGTACGCAGCCACTAGGACATCAGGAACAGCAGCCCAGGGTAGGGGCTGGAAAGCAGAGTCCCAGATGTCTGCATTTCCCACAAAGCAGAGCTCCCTTGTCCCACCAGCACTTGGGCACAGCAATGGACCTTGCCCTACTCACAGCCTTCCCCAGCTAGGGGCGCTGGCTGCCAGGAGGCCCACCACCACCAGTGGCTGGAGGGGACAGCCAGAACCACTGCTCTGCTTTCTTACAATCACATGTCATCAGGATATGGACTGAACCCACTGTCTGCACATGGATATGCACACACTGACAGGTTTTATGACACTGTCCTACGGTCTTCTCTTGGTCTGACTTATGAACAAGTGTCCTTGGGATCTCTGTTCCCTGGACTACCCATGCCAGCTCTAGTCAACAGAGAGTTGCAATCACCTCTCCTATTTTGGAAACCAGCCTGCCTTTTCCATGAAAGCCATAAAGAAACAATAAGTAAATAACAGAACTTAAACACTTCCAAAACAAGTAAGAAAACAGATTTATTTCTTTTTTTTTTTATTAGGAACAAAATCATTGCAGGGAAAAGAAAAGAACACCATAAAAAGAACAATAGCTGGGCATGAGCATGTACAATTACAGGAAGAGTACAGGCTACACAACTTTTTTCCTGACCTCACAGTAGCAGAAAACTTTGCCCTGCTGCTGAACAGCCTCTTCAGCAGGGAAGCAAAGAAAACCAGCTGTGCATGCCCTATCTGCCTCGAATCCTCAAATCTCAGACTCTCATCTCAAGGGGAAAAAACCTCCCACCCAGACTGGGGGTATGACAGTAATGGTGCTAAGAGCAGCTGCAGCATCCTCAGCCATCCCAGAAGCAGGAGAGCAAGGAGGTGAGCTGGAGCCAGACAGGCTAGCCCAACTCTGTCCCCTCACCAACCCTCGGCCCCAAAATGCTGGCACATTTGCAGCACAGCTGGGAGCAGCGCTCAGCCCCTGAGGCTACGCATGTGCTGGAGCTGATCATCCCCTGCCTGCCCCTGCCAGAAAGGGCAGAGGAGAAGCAGTGCTGGCCACATCTCCCTAACTTCACAGCTGTGGCCCCCATCCACAGAGCATCCCAGTCACTGTGCTGCATAAGTGCATCTGCCACCCCAGCACCCCATGTCACACACTTTTTTTTGTCACTCAGTTCACGGCCTTTGAGGAATGTTGGTGCCAAAAGGAGATAGCACAGCACCACGAGAAAAGTCATCATCTCCCTCTTACCATGGAAAAACCTGATTCCTACGGCATCCTTAAAGAGTGGAGATGGGCTGAATCATTGCCAACACAGCACACAGGATCCAAAAACCTTTTAGACAGCCACAGAACACGGGAACAAGGAGCAGAACAGCCTATAGCTGGGCACCACCGACGCAGAGCTTTGCCATGTGCAGACACGAAGGACGTCCAGGTGAACATGCAGCCACCCCGCCAGCTCCCCCGCCTGGGAGAAAAGCGCTCAGCAGGTTTTTCTTTTGCAAGGCTGCCTGCAGACCTCAGGGGGTGGGTGGCATTCACAAGGCACACCTCCAGCCTGCTTCCAAGGGACTTGGGACACAGTGTCAGCACGATAACAGAAGGGACAGAGCAAGGGAAGAGAGAGAAAGGCAATGCACCTCCATACCCCATCCATTTCAGACCCAGCACCTCACTTTTGCTTACCAGAATGTACCCATGCAATAAACACCCTGCTCTGGTAGCGCATCCTGGAGCACTCAGGTGGCCCAGCAGCCCCCAGCAGCTTTGTCAGAGACTCGGCTACCTGCAGCAGGGGATCAAGCCCTTGCCCTCTCCTCCCTCTTCCCTGAAGGTCTACCCCAGCTGTGGCACTCACAAGCCTCCCTTGAGCACGGCAGGATGCTTGCAGCGGCAAGGCATGCTTAAGGGACCCCATAAATCGCTGCTGTCTGTGCAGATAGCGCAGCACTGAGAAAGCCTACACACACAGGCAGATGGCCAACCTAATCAGCTTGTGGTAAGTAGCTAAACCATTATGATAAAGGCACTAATGCTTGCATTGATGAATGATTTCAACATTATAATCAATGTTTCAGCCAAAATTAATGCACCCAAGCCCCAGGCAACCTCCTGCTGAAGGCAAGCAAGCTAGTGATGGAGCTGTTTGAGCTCTGACAGCCCAAGCAGTTACATTCTGGTAAAAGGTATCTGACAGCCCCCTGCCATCACAGGGCATCAGGATGTGAGCAAGCCAGCAGAGCTTCCTGCCCACCGCTTCACACCTCACACAGTTTGTGGTGAGGCCCAAATCTCAATGGGTCTGGAGCTCAGAGGAGCACTTCAGATAAATACCTGGCACTGCAGATACTTAGCTGAAAACTCAGTCAAACTCTTTGCAAAGCCTGTGAATAAAATGTCTTGAAATCTCCTGAGAAGAGGCTTTCTCAGGAAATTTCTGGCAGGTCCTCATTTCTATCTGGAACCAGTGTGATACTACAATCCACCTGTCCCTTGCAGGAGCCACTGCCTGTCAAAGATGGGGGAAGGCATGAAGAGGGCAGGGAGAAGGATCACCCATCCAATCTCAGGCTGTCCTCAGGGCTCTATCGTGTAACTGCAGGTCTGCTAACAGGCAAAGCACCAGAGAGCTGCCCAGTTTTGTTAGGGAACCTGCCAGCCCATGGTAGCATGGCCTTGGAGCCACACATGGTTTTGTTTTGTTTTTTTTTTAAATGAGGTTATAGCAGGCCTGACACGTCACATCTTTCCCCTGCTAAAATTTTCCAGACCAATTCTTATACACAGTGAGACTATGGGATGCAAAGGATGGGTGTCACAGGCTTCAGGAGAGGGTTAAACAGCAACCATGTCACATTAGTCATCAGTTGGGTCCGGGAAACAGTCTGAGGCATGTTCCTGGCTTTCCACATAACCTATCATCTCCTGTTCTGGCATTTCCTCAGGTTCTACCACCACTGGCAAATTTTCTTCCACCAGGGGCAAGGGCTCAATGCCTGGACCAATCTGGGCAGCATCTGGAAAAGAAGGGGGAAACAGCTTACACATGTGTGCAACACATTTAACCCTGTGGAAGTTACCCCTTCCGCTCCCCAGCCCTCACTGCTGCAAGCTGCCCAACCAGCTCAAGCACCCCCCCTCCCCAGGCTTCTACAAGCCACATTTCAATATGCTTTATAATTATTCATTTATGGAGCTTCCTCTGCAAGACACATTGGTGCTGAAGCTCTCTGGGCCCAGCAACCCAAAATATACCAAAACACCAAATCAAAATCTATTCAGCTTTATTTGAATCATAAAAGCTGGCTAAATGTACACTTCCCACATGCAATTCTGCTTTTACTAAGTTGTAGAAAAATTAAATATGGGATGTTTTGTTTCTATTTTAAAAAAATCCACAGTATCAGTTTGACTAACAAGTTCTACATTATTAATATATTAATATTAGACAACTACCTGAATGACTTGCATTTTTTCCCTTTCTTGCACTATATTCAATGAATACTTCTTTAACAACAATTTAATTATGATGCTTCTTTAGTAAGTGCTTTTAATAAAAAGAAGGCAGGGCAATGAAGCATCTAAGGATAGACAAAAAGCACAGCCAAGCAGGTGAGAGGCCATGCACAGTACAGCAAAGGACACAGGGAGCAGAGGCAGCAGAGCTGAGCTATGACCTGTGTAATGTCGTCTGCGCTGGACCTACTTCAGCTGTTGATGATGCATTACTAAGGAAGGTATTGCCAAGCATTCATGTTTGTGACATAAATTTGAGGGAAACAATGCAAAAAGCAGAGTATTAATATCAAGTGTTCACAGATTTCTGAAGGGTTTTCATTGCTGCATTCTCTTGACCACACTGTGCAAAAGCAGTGGTGTTTTATTATTGGTTTTTTTGGAGGATATAAAATACTGCTGTATTCCTATTTTGGCTCCAGTTTAAGGAAATATGCAAACCTCTGACTTTGATAGGATTTAGCCCTGCTTGCAGCATATTGGTAGATGCCACACCAAAGAAGATGTCTGCCTGCTAAAACAATGCTGATTCTTATAAAATCAAACTGATGATAAAGGAGAGGAGTGATAAAAAATGCGGAAAAGCTGCTAATTTGGGGTGGGGGTTGCTGTTTGCTTTTCTTAGAGACATTTTAGCACAGGCTACAGTGGCACAGGCAGCATGCAGCCTGCTGGCAGCACCCTCTGCAGGATGCTTTCGAGAAGACTGCTGCTACATCCCACGGCTGGCTGAGGGCAAGAGCTACCCTGACCTGCTGCAACTTCTGTCACCCAGACAGAACGGGCCTAGCAGCCCGCACTAGCTATCCCCAGGCTTCCCTCTGCAGCCAGGTCCCTCCCCGCTGTCCCACACGTCCATTTCACCCTCCTCAGCAGGCTGTCTGGCGTCAAACAAGTCACTGGACGCACCCGGCACTGGAGGGCAGTCGATTTGGGCAGCTTGAGCCTCCACGTGGTCTCCATTGGGGGGGCTCTTCACAGCTTCACTGGAGACCACTGACATTGCTATTCCGTCATCTTTTTCATCCTCTGAAAAGCCAAAAATCAGAGACTTGAAGGGAAGAGGCCCCCAGCAGCACTGGAACGTTGGCCACGAGGCCAGGCCTCCAGCACCTGCTCGTGGCTCCCCCTCACGTGGCGCTGGCCCCACTCCCAGAGCAGACAGATGCCAGCATGGAGGGCCACTGCCAGCCTGACAGAGACCAGCCTGGCCATGCTGCCAGGATCACGGCTTGAGGTGGCCACGCAGGGAGTGAGCACTTGGGGACAGGTGCTGACAGAGGACAGCCAGCAGCAGCCCTCAGGATCTGGCCCAAAGGGGACTCCATTTTCTCCATTTGCTCATAGAAAACACTTCGCTGTGTTTCTTTCTGGCACACACAAGCAAATATAAACTGAAAAGAGGAAAAGCACAGTTTTCTTCAAGATCCCACCACTAACAGTTGCCTATCCATGAGTCTGCTCTGCTGGGTTAAGGGAGAGCTAGACAGAAAGTGACTAATCACCGAGGTGAGGCCAGTTCATGCTGGGGCTATTTCTGCCCCAGCCCCTACATACACTATCCTCTGGCAGATCCACCCCAGGGGCAACAGAGCTCCCCACTCACCTGAAGGCACTGGGATAAACTTGTGCTTCCTCTTCATGCAGCAGCAGATGACTGAGGACACGACCACCACCAGGATAGCTGCACCCCCTGCACATCCTGCCAGGATGTAGATGAACAATGGGTACTGCAGCAGGTCTCCTGCAAGAAGGACAGCATTGTTAGTTGCCAGGGCAGGCAAGCTTCTTTCTCCCGGCTGGAGAAAGCCCCATAGACAGATTAGGGCACATGGGCATTACTGTTGCCCATTTCTCTCAAGGATTCTTGAGAGAAATTATGAGCTGTAGCATATCATCATTTATGTCACATCATTTAATCATTGTATGAAATTTTTCTTTATGTAAGAGGCTTGCACAACTATGCTGTGTGTATTTGTCTGTTTCTGTCTACTCTGACCAATAACATCTCAGATAATCCACACTTGATCAAATTTAATGGAGGAGGTGATGGTTTTAAAGATGCTACATTTCAAGAAGTTTTGTGAAACAGAAAGCCCAGAAGAAGACCTAAGCTAGCATCTCCTGCTGAAAGGAGAGCCACAGTCCGCCCTCTGTGCTCAGATTAGGCTTCAGAGAATCCACTTGAGATAGCAGTACAGCAGCTACACCAACCTCAAAGGAAGTGCAGGCTCTGATCTGACTTTGTCAGACACCAGAGAATCCAGCCACCAGGGCCAAAGCTGTAGGAAAGATTTCATTGCTGCTCAGGGAAGGATTTTTCTTTATTGTCCTCCCCAGCTGAGATCATGCAAGACTCCTAGCAGGAGGCTAAGGCTGCAGATGGCGGAGCAGAAGACCAGGCACACACTGGTGGTAATTATTACCCAGCTCAGAGACCCTTGCTCAAGGCTGCTGTGACAGGTCATATGAGCAGGGACTGCTGTAGTGAGGGTGAGCAGCGAAGCAGGCAGAGACCATCACAGGCTTGCAGGAGAGAGAGATCCATCCAGACACGCTCCTTTAGGACAATTTGTTCCACTCCGGGGTATCCAGTAAGAAAACTCTTTATCCCAACATGGAAAAAGGCAACAGCTCAAATATCTCTGTACTATACATTCCTTAAAAGCACGCTAAACCTCACCATAGCTTTTTGAATCATTGGGACCTCTTCTTGCCTGCTACTCAGCCCCATTGAACAAGACAGCAGTAGCTTCACTTAGCAAGGCTGAACAACTAGGAACCAGAGCAGCTATCCAAACACAGCACTTCTTCACTTTCCCTGCACCACTCTTTTTAAAAACACGCTGGCTAAACTCTGGGCAGCACCACTCAGGTTCCTCCAAGAAGGCTGCAGACAACTCCTTCCTGAGCTGGGTGCAGCGCAGCACCAGCACAGTTCTCCTGCTTGGCCAACCTCTATAAGGAGAGTTACCACATTTCTAGAAGTCTAGGCTCAAAATTAAACTTTCAGCAAATGAGAAATCATTGTCCTGAGCATTTTATTTCCTTTGAGGAAAACTCAAGAGAATATTGTCCAAAGCATAGAATGTTGAAAACAGTCCTGAATATTTCTTAAAAATTTGCCATTTGTTCAGAAGGTCTTTCCGAGATGAAGTATGTTAAAAAAATCAAAAATAAAACAAGCAGTAATTAAAATATGAATAATGAAATTCTTTTATGTATGTTGACTTGTAGATTTCTGAGCCATTTGTTTTAGATCCTCCAGTGAGAGCTCTTTGGTGCCTTGGAAATTTATAAACATTTCTGTCAAATTGTCTTAAACACTTTAAATTAATTTCATCAGCCAACAGGTTGCCTAAATGATTGCTTTTACAATAGATCTTGCACCTGAGTTGGAACAACAGTGGAAAAGCTATATTTATCCCTTTGTTTGGAACAAATAATTACACACAAAATGAGTTAGTCATTAATTCATTTAGTTGAACTTATTTCTCTTCATTTTTCTAGTATCAAAAATGGCTTTAGCTCACTTCTTATGAATGTGGCTGCATTTGGTGACTAAAAAGTAAAATTGCTGCTACTTCCCTGCTCTCACACCCTTTCCAGTACATGTTTATGCATGTGCTCATCCCAGAGCTATCACCAAATTCCCTCGTGGGCTTTTGAAGAGGAAATGAGAAACTGATATCGCACCCAGGGGACTGGGCAGCCACCCAGAATAAACAATGGTAGCTGTCAGCACTTGTGTAGTTTATCTTGATTCAGAGCTCACAGACATTTGCATCCCCATTCCCCAGTGTCTCAGTTAACTTGGGTCTGACCACGCTGAACAACTTTTGGCCAATTCAACTGGACAAAATTCGGATTGCTGCTCCACAATCACAAATGCCAAACTTGTACAGGCTGGCCCACAGCACCAATGCAACCAAATACAGACAGCCCACGGCATTTCTGTCAACTGCCAGAGCACACAATTTGGTGCTTAGGTCAGTATTTTTGCTTTTATACCAACTCTATGCCAGTCTTGAGAAAAGACAGTACCCAATCTGCTGTAGAGTTGGAGCATTTCAGGCAATTTCTAAAACACTAGGTGCTATTGCACAGTATAATTTAACATAGGAAAGCTACGTTAAATTACTTATAGAATCATAGAATATCCTGAGTTGGAAGGGACCCTTAAGGATCATCAAGTCCAACTCTTGACACCGCACAGGTCTACCCAAAAGTTCAGACCATGTGACTAAGCGCACAGCCCAATCTCTTCTTAAATTCAGTCAGGCTCGGTGCAGTGACCACTTCCCTGGGGAGCCTGTTCCAGTGTGCAACCACCCTCTCTGTGAAGAACCCCCTCCTGATGTCAAGCCTAAACTTCCCCTGCCTCAGCTTAACCCCATTCCCGCGGGTCCTGTCGCTGATGTTAATGGAGAAAAGGTCTCCTGCCTCTCGACACCCCCTTACGAGGAAGTTGTAGACTGCGATGAGGTCTCCCCTCAGCCTCCTCTTCTCCAGGCTGAACAGGCCCAGTGCCCCCAGCCGTTCCTCGGACGTCTTCCCCTCCAGGCCTTTCACCATCTTCGTAGCCCTCCTCTGGACACTCTCCAACAGTTTCATGTCCTTTTTATACTGTGGTGCCCAGAACTGCACACAGTACTCGAGGTGAGGCTGCACCAGCGCAGAGTAGAGCGGGACAATCACCTCCCTCGACCTACTAGCGATGCCGTGCTTGATGCACCCCAGGACATGGTTGGCCCTCCTGGCTGCCAGGGCACACTGCTGGCTCATATTCAACTTGCTGTCTACCACGACCCCCAGGTCCCTCTCTTCTAGGCTGCTCTCCAGCGTCTCATCGCCCAGTCTGTACGTGCAGCCAGGGTTTCCCCGTCCCAGGTGCAGGACCCGGCACTTGCTCTTATTGAACTTCATGCGGTTGGTGATCGCCCAGCTCTCCAACCTATCCAGATCCCTCTGCAAGGCCTTTCCACCCTCATCCGAGTCCACAACTCCTCCAAGTTTGGTGTCATCAGCAAACTTGCTCAAAATACCTTCTATTCCTACATCCAGATCATTTATAAAAATATTGAAAAGTACCGGCCCTAAAATGGAGCCTTGAGGGACCCCACTGGTGACCACCTGCCAGCCTGACGCAGCCCCATTTACCATAACCCTACTTATGACTAAATCAGTCAAAAATCTTATAGTTAAATCATGTTATCCTGACACAGTTCTGATGACATCTTCACTGCCAGGGAGGACAAAAGCCTTCAAACCTTTACTACTGGAGATGCAAGTAAATATCTAATCAATTTGTTTTTTTTTTTTCTTTATTAAAAGTCAGCTTACAACACTAACCAGTGCTTTGCATCATGAGGTTATGGCAATCCTAGGATTCAGATTTACTGTCTCATTAAAGCAGGTTACTCAGCATTTATGGAGAGCTTGCAAAGGGATCAAGTCATGGCCTTCCCACAGAACTACATACCCAAGCAGGGACACAAATATATACACACGTTTGTTTGTTTAAGTAAATTACATCTTTACCACACCTCTGATAACGCAGGGCTGATAAAGATATTTATATGCTCTGGTATATCTTTGTATTGGTGGTCTAGACAAGGAGAGAAGAGATGAGGCAAAACACCTCATCTGAATTCAGCCCTGTTGTTGCTGCTGGATTAGAATAAATGTTTTTCCAAGGATGTTGCAAAAATTGGAGGGCAGTGAGGGTAACAGGTGAATGTAAGAGTAGGAAATATCTCGTGTTTCTACACTGACTCTTAAGAGCATATAGAATCCCCATCATTGGAAGTAGAAAAAGAAATACAGATATCCTTCCTGGCAGCAGAGTTGGGGAGAAGGACCTGCTGAACAAAGCTTCACCCTTTCTATGACTGTAGGCTCAGTCTGAGACAGAGCAGGAAGAAAGAAGTCAATGGGACACTTGCTAATGGGGGATGTGGTAAAGTCTGGAAGGCAGCTGCCCAAGGACAGAAAACCTCTTTTATACTGACAACAACAAGTCCTAAGATTCCCACCACAAGAGACCAAGAGGGAAATTTTCTGGCAATGCCATTACTCACCATAGCTGCAAGACAACATAATGGGCCCGCATCTCGTGATGCCGTTCTTGTGGTGAACCTCACATACAAACTCCCCAGGCATGGGTCTGTCCAGGCGAACCTTCTTCCCACCATCCTTAATGCAAGCCTCAGAGGTCTTCAGCTCACTGCCATTCAGCAGCCACTCAAATCTCATCCACTCATTGCTGGACACGTTGCAGGACAACTCTACGGTCCCATCAGGGAAGCACTGGATAGCAATGGCTGGCTCTGGTCATGCAACACAGGACAACAGGAACGGGGAGGGAAGAGAGACAATGAGCAGACTCAGCAGTGACTGAGAACTGGGCAGGAGCTTTTCCTACCAGGAAGACTCCCACAGCATTTGCTGCTAGCCAGGGTGCACAACAATCAGTAACCACTCTTCAGTGTCTGCTCCCAGCCCTTGGCAGGACTCACTCAACCCTACTGCTGACTCTTGGTCAATGTTCTGGGGACATCACAAAAATACAGCCTCTCTTCATTTTCCATGTAGAAACCGATAAAGATAACAGAAACCCATGATCTGAGGATCATGGACACAGCTGGGGGCCAGAGGCTTCCTCCATAATCAATGGATACCTGTAGCTTCAGAGGAGATTCAGCCCTCTCCTTGACCAGATACTTTTGCTATCACTGTCTACTTCTGTTTTAGTGAGAAATTAGTACAGATCATGCCTGTGCCTAACATAGGTACCAATACGAGACATCCACAGATAGAATGGCCCAGGCTAGGACAACTGAAACTGAAGGAATGCATCGATGATCATATTACGAAAGAGAAAAATCAGAAAAACAATTAAAAGGAACCAATCTGCCACTTTGCAAATACAGACTAAACAGAGAGGCTGCGTGGTTTTATGACCATAAGAGTTGCATTGAGAATATCTATGCAAATCATCCATGTAAGCAAGCTCAGAAATCACCCTCCTCAACTATGATATCAACTTCAACTAAAATTACTACCTCCAGAAATTCCTTTGCTGTGAAATTGTTTTCCTAACTTTGTGGCAACAGAGCACAAGGAGAAGACAAAAGTTCCCAGAGTAAGTTCACTGAAATAGAGGTAAAAACCAGGGCACTTTGCAATCTTTGCTTACTTCCCATCTAAGCCCCTGATCTTTTCTGGCCAAGGAGTCACATCTTTGACCTACTCTCTGTGGCAGTTCTGCTTGTTTGCACTTGAACAGCGTAAGGATTCATTTGTCTTCACTGAGATCAGTTTGCTTTGACATTTTCATTACACTTTCATGCACTTCAATTTCTCTTAAAAACTTTAAGTGAAAGCTCTGTAAAAGGAACAGTGGAGATGAGGACAAGACCCATGGTTAGTGGCTATCTAGAGCAATGTTCAGCAAGGGGCTGAACCTGTTTAAGCCTTCTCTCTATTAACCCAAGCAACAAGCTGGATTTTGTATCAGTGACTCCCATTTCCTTCTTTTCAGTCCACAGGTGGATGACCAGGTAAATGAAGGGGAGTGGGAATGCTGAGGCCACAGGGATGACATCAGAGAGCCTGGCAAGTTAAGGTACCTACTGCACGTCTCTACACAGACCCAGGAGATACTGACCTCAAAGCTGATAGTGGGCAGGAAAAAAAAACTCAGAAAGTCGTACCTGGACTCTTTCATTACCTTTTTGCAACTGCACAAAGCAGTCTCTTCATGAGACCCATCAGGAAGACTGTTCTAGAAATGGACTGAAATCTCCAGCTGCATGTCTATATACCGTAGACTCAGCTGTAAAAATACTTTATGCTGCTGCCTTTTACATCAGGAAAAAAAATAGTACATAGCTCAACTGACTGGCTACTCGAAGGGAGGCTCAACAGACAGGAAAGACTGACAACATGGATGTCAAAAGCATTTCTTTAGCTTACACTCACCATTCCTGCTCTGAGACTTATGAAGCTGTGCCTTCTGTTCCAGAGGCCCCTATAGCTCCTGCAAGCTCAAGAGGTATCTTCAAAAGAAATTCAAGGCAGCAGCTTCCAGACAGGCTCACAGATTCACAAGCTATTTATTGCTAACAAAGTCACTTACCGAGTACTTCCAGTGCAAAGGATTTGGTGATGTCGTTAAAAACAAACTCATAATTTCCTTCATCCTCCTTCTCCACACTCCTTAGCACTAGAGAGCCATTCTGCAAGTTCAGACGTCTGTAACATGAGCCACAGCTGACCAACCAAGTACCATTTACCATGTTTACAAAGCATCTCTCATTGTCCTTGCTCATTTTGGAGAGGTTCTGCAGGTTTTCAAGTCCTATAGGAAATATTGCTGAGCTGCCGCTGAGCGCACCAATCGTGGTGACAGAGCCTGGAAGGAGAGCACAGAGTGTAGGCAGTGAGCTTTCTGTGTGTCTGTCCGTCCATCCATCCTCAGCTGCCCCCCGAAAGGGCAAAAACTGAGGTCAGATGTAAGAGGGACCCATCTCTATCAATAGTCTGGGGACACCAGGAGTCAAGAAAAAAAAATCAGAGGAGCAGGAAGGGTGACAGAATGCCATCTATAAAGGCTCGCTTTCTTCGCTGCTACCATGAGGGTTGTACACATGCCATGCACACAGTGACACGAGTCTGAACAGCTGGTCTTTCCTCTCCAAATTTTACATGACCCTACCCTCTCTCTACCACTTCTCCTGGTTGCTGCATGTCTGTGCAGAGAAAAATGCTTAGGGCGTTAATGCCATAGGTGTAGCGTAGGTGATAGCCGAAACAATTGCTGCTTGCACAGCTTCTTTTACCTAAAGAGTACTGTCGCAGTGTCTGCGTGAACAAGCCTCACAGTATCCCCGCACGTTATTAAAGTTGCTGTACTCAGATCACAGATGGGTAAATAGCAGGATGACAGCAGCTCAGGGACTGACCCAAGGTCACACCAAGTGTCAGGAACAGGACCACACTGCTCTCCAACCCTCCAGCCAGCAATTTACATACAAGGATCTTACGTTCTCTGTTGAAATGCTTTTACAGACACAGTACACTGGGAAAGTACTATATTGTTAGTTACAATTAGTTTGCTTAAAAAATGTATATACATCTTCCCATAGTCTGACTGCTCCTTTCATGCATTAGCAGTTACACTACTTGATATATCACAGAGCCTGGCAGAGTCCTTAAGATCTTGGAATAAAATTAAAGGTGTCCAACCTAGGCAAATCTGTGCCACAATGCCATAAAGAAAAATCCCACTTACCATCAGTAACAGTTATTATCACCAGCAAGCACTGCAGAATAAAAGGAGAGTTGAAGTCCATTTTAAAGAGCTCCTTGCATCATATGCAGAGACGACAATCTGGCTACAGAGCTCAGAGAATATAGTGTTCAGGAAATGATGTCAGAAGCAAGAGTGAAAAAAAAAGAAAAGAAACCCCATACTGGACAGATTGAATAATGTTACAAAATAGACCTGCAAGGTTTTGGGTGACTGAATTCAGACTAAACCGACACGAGCCACGATGTGCTTTGCAAAGTCCTGCACCTTGGAGCAGGCTGCAAGTGTGAGACTAGGACTGGGAGGTGAGGAGAAGGAAAAGTACTCCTGATCAACTCACCCCACTTAGCAAGATGCCAATGCAGAGACTGGGCAGAGGGGAAGCACCTATTTCTTTCAGTCTTTTCCAGTTTATAGAAGTACAGAATCCCCACATAGAGAAGAGAAGTCTGTCCAGTCAGATAAAGCACTGCATATACAGGCTGATTTTCTGCAGTACCAACAACTGTCCCTCACCAGCAGTAGGCGTGGGAGAATACTCTCCTTCTCTATACAAGGGCTACCTTACCAGCCTGAACTTTGCTGGGCTCCTCCAGTGTTGTGATTGTATCTGCCAGGAAGGAAAAGGTTCTCTGTACAACCACCCCAAGCGAAGAACACAGGCTAGAGAAAGCTAAGTTGCATTACGAATCCAGACCAAATACAGCCTGAAAGCCATTCAGGCTGTATTTGGCTGAGAGGACTTAAAACTCACTGGTATTTCACACAGAGCATGGAGGAGTGCTGCACACAAGCAATGCAGCAGAATCTGCCACGGCATTAGAGCCAGCATCTCAATGTTTTCAGACACGCTTAGCAGATGTGCTTGGAAACAACTGCAACAGGAGTTCAGGATGCAGCTGGTGATCTTAGGCTTTTGCATTGTTTCCCTGGATGCGCAGCCCATTAAGTTAAGAAAGCTCCACATGGTGTAATTCAGTATATCAGCATGTTTCTAAGAAACAGTTAAATCTCTTCCATTTGCTGTTTTTCAAACAGTTTGGCTCTGCTTGATAATTCCACATTTTGGCCAGTGGTTTGGCCCCTCCAACTTCTTAGTAATGACAATTAAGTCTACTTTCTGCTCCTAGTGTCTAAAACGTAAAGGTTTGCTCAAGGCTACCACAGCACCATCCTGCCTTTACCATACATGCATAGGACAGTCCTAAATTGATCTACGATGTGACAGAAATAGCCTTCTCTGAGAAAAGCAGTGAAGTGAGTCTTTAGACACTTGCAGCAGAGCGGTGGAAGGAGGAAAGAGAAAAGTATTTACAGCAAGAAACACTTTCGTTTCCTTCTGTACAGCTGAAATTACTTGAAGAAACTCATCCTCCAAATACTGCTGCAAAACTGTGGCTAGCCATCTGCCTCGGATGTGCATGTCCAACTTCATTTCACCTCCACATTTGACGGGTGAGCTGGTTGAGCTTATGAATTCAGTGCTTTGGTGGAGACAGGAGGCAAAGAAGATGGTACATGCAAGGGTCACCTCAGAACAGAACCCCAAAAAGCTCAGAGCCTCAGAAAAACAGCAAAAGGCAGAGGGGGTTGTCCCACAGCAAAATCCAGCAAAAGTTCACCTTCTCCCCTAGTCAAAGACAGCAGCCTTGCAGAGCTCATTTGCGGATTTGCAGTTAAATGAAAGAAAAAAATACGGCCTTCCTGCTGTAGCTTCTTTGTTACAGAATAGACTCTGCGTGACGGTGACATTGTGGTGTCCTGCATTTAGTCTCCCTCGCAGTGACTCCAGGGCAAATGAGTACATTTATGAGTTTAATATTTCTGACTGCTAGCGCCCCATACATCACACAGGGTATGAAGTCCCATTAGGCTCCTTCTGTCCCTCAACATCCTGGCCAGTGAAAAAAAAGAAGTCAAAGCCAGGATGAAGAGGACAGCACATGCACTGTCTGTGTTGCCATCAATCAGCAGTCTCTCATTAAGATCAACCCTCCCAAATTTTGTACATAAGGAATTTTTAGGTGAGATCAAACACTAACTTCTGATATTAACTAATGAATGCTATCAACACCCCAAAGTAGCCGGAGAAAATACTTCCCCTTTTTATATAAAGATGCATGAAATTTTCTGTGACAAAAAACACCTTGTGAGGCTTAACAGAAACCACAAGAGAAAAAAAAAAAGTGATTTACAGTAAAATTTTTTACTTGGTGAACTGCAAGCTCAGGGGGCCATTTTGTCCTTACAGCCACTAATGGCACTGCTAACCACTTTTAACAGAGGAGGGACACTAATTCCCTACACAAGTCCCTGTTGGAGCATAGGAGACCAAGAAACGTGAGCTAGTAAAGTAGGAAAAGAAGTGTGAAGTGCTATGAAGTAAATTTGTACATCTGAGCTCTACATATCTTCCTTTAAATAGGCCTGTGACCACCAGCAGCACACCTATTTTTATGGCTACAAAGGCATGCAGCCTGCCTTCACACAGGGGAAGGCTGCAGAGCCCAGCACCACAACCTAAGTGCATGGAAATGCAAAACAATGCAGCAGCTCTGGTGATGTACCAGGATAGCAGGACTAGCTAGGAAAATGGTCACAGATGAAAGCCCTCATGTCAGGGAATCTACAGCCCCACACAGAGCTGTAAAATGGAAATAAACCTGGACCCTCCCGAACTCCTACCTGCAGACAACCATCAACCAAGGCATGTGTAGGATTTCCCCATCAGCTCCTGCCATGAGACCTACCATGCTGGTCCTTACCTCAGCTGCTCCACCACAGCTCTCATGCTTGACACGTTTGTTGCACAGCACAGCAGCTCTGCTGCTTTGGGACTCAGCATCTCACATAAAAGCAGTCAGCCTGATCCACAACACACAGCCACCTGCACCTTGTTTTTGTAGTCCTGCAGGAGCAGAGAGAGGCTGTGGCATGGCTGTGGACAGACAGACCTACAGCAGCCCCTTCTCAGAGCTGACCCACACCTTAAATGCACATGCCATGCACTTGAACAGATGCATGCCACACCATCTGATAGCATGTCTGACGGATTAATGTTCTTCCCACCACGCAAACCAAAGCGGGGAAGTCCCATGTGTCAAGCTTTATGAAAGTAGACAGGCCAGACTCAGGTCACTGATGCTTCTCCCCACCTCCCAAAATCATTAATTTGTTGCCATTCCTACATAAAGTTGCACCTGGAGAATTTCTCCTCATCAGCTCTTAACATGGATGCTGAATGAGGCAAATTAGGGAGGAACTGGACTTTAGCTCTCATTCCTCTTGCCTCCATCCCAGAGACAGCCTGCAGGTGATCCTCTTTCCTGCCCAATCCATGCAAACAGGCTTATTTCAGCCTGTACAGATACACACACTGAGGCACAGACAAAGAAGGACCTGGGGATCTCCTGCAGAAGGTCTGCCATGTCTCAGACACATCTCCATGAGACACACACCACTGGTCCTCATCTCATGCTTCCTGCCACAGCACTGACTTTTGCTATGCAATGCTGAGGCTGTCTGAGACCCACTGAACCAGACACTGCTCTTCTGCCTAGGATGGACCACCCAAGTAACAGGGCATGGCACGTAGGATCCTGAAGCAGCAAAGGAGACAAAGTTCTGCACAGCAGACTGGGGACCTAATCTGCAGAAACCCTCTGCTCAGAGTAAACCAGGCAGAAAACCCACAGCAGCACTTTCATTTGCTTCTTATTGTCTTATACTTTGGGGTAGCAGACTTTGCTACCCTGTAATGCAGAGCAGAAAAGTCCCATGCTTTCAAAATACAAAGAAGACAAGCTGGAGAGAGATTTTCAGCTTCCATTTCTGACAAGATAAAATCCACGTGTTTGTCACACTTCATACACAATCTTCCCCTCCAGCTCTCTCTGACGTTGAAATGAGACCGATCAGGTTTACAGAAGGAAATCAGACTTCTGCACAATAACAGTTGCTATCATTCTCCCTCTTGTCATACCTGAGTGCTTCCCACTTCTCCGCAGCTATCAGAGAGCTCCAGGGGGAGCACCACACATTCATCCCACACACATGAAACCCCCAACTCCACTTAGTGCTGAGCAGCTACATTGGGAGAGACC